TGCAGCTCTGGCCTCGATGAGGGAGCCTGTTGTGGGGGTGCCCAGGGCCATGGCACCCCCCCCCATGCTAGCCACTGTGGGAATGGCTTCAATTGGCGGCTAAACCAGGTGAGGGTGGCTGTTGGCGCCTTGTACTCCTCCTTCCAGCAACTGCCTGCAGCCAAACTGGTGCAAAACATATTGCTCTGCTTGTTAGAATTCCTGCTCCATGATTGCAGTCATGGGATTGTTGTCTTTCACATGACGGTGTGTGTTTTGACTCCACCGCGTGGGAAGTAGCGGAGACAGGATGTTTGTGTTACTGTGTTCTGTGAAGTGGGATTATTGTCCTTTGTTCTTTTTCCTCTTTGCTGTCTGATGCTAGAGAGAGAGAGGGAGCCATGTTGCAGTGCTCCGTGTGTGTTTATATGTAAATAAAGTAGAATAGCCAACATGCTGAGTTGCTGAGGTCTGTCATGCAAACTCTGTGGATCCCTAAGTGTGCCGGTGTCTGGTGGCATCGGTCACTGTGATGTTCAGGATGAAGAAAGCTTTTGAAGCTCCTGAACGATCGACCAGGAGGGAGAGAACATGCCAGTCAGGCATGTGTCTCTGCCAGGGTCCTACTCGAGTGTAGACTGAACTCCTGACACTGCTTTCCTTTGGACCACATCAACGAGACCGAGGAGGGGGATCTTGTCGTCTGGGCAGTCCATGACCTCCATGCACACTGCCCTTGCTTGCGCTCCAGAGAGGTCACTTTGGTGCTTTTAACACAGCAGTATGACTTCACCTCTGGAGGCGCACTCCATTGTCTCTCAAGACAGACGGATGCCAACGACAATAATATAATAAAAGAAACAATTAAATGCAATTAAAAATCATAAAGTATCTACATGGTGCATTGCAGCTGCTATAGCAGCCAGAAAAGCCATTAAACGTTCTGCCAAGACCAGCAATTTCCAAGTGGTCCAGGCAGGGGGTGGAAGTGGGAACCGCATACACAAGAGAAACTGGAGAATGGGGAAAATAAATAGAAGTTGGATACTTCTTCCCTTTTCTTTGAACGGGGTTCCTCCTTCATGCTAGCACTTTCAATGATAACATTTAATACAATTGCATTTCTTTTTAAAAGCTGAAGGTTTCATTTCAGTTGACTAAAGAGCCTTTGATTAAAGCTTAATGTGGTTTACAGGCAGGAACTATGTGATTAGCACTGCTATGTTCAATGGTGCTTACTCCTAGAAAGCTGCGAAAGATTGCAGTCATGCTAATCATGGAATTGGCTGCCAAGGAGTGTGGTGGAGTCTCCTTCTTTAGAGGTCTTTAAGCAGAGGCTTGACAACCATATATCAGGAGTGCTCTGATGGTGTTTCCTGCTTGGCAGGGGGTTGGACTCCATGGCCCTTGGGGTCTATTCCAACTCTAGGATTCTATGATTCTATAATCCCAAAAAACTGGGCATTGTGCCAAGTACTGCTGCTATGTTTGCATGTTCTGTTGGATCAACACAGCTGCCTGCAATTTTTGATTCTCCTCGGAGGCATGGCTTGTTAGACTATTCCGTTCCACCTTAAGTACAGGCATGACTGTTGTGTGTCACATGCCTGTTTACACTCCAGCACAGCTTGCTGGGAACTTCCGTTTGTGTATAGCTTTTGCTTATGCTGCTTGCTTGGACACAAAAAGGAGAAGATATGTTTTTTTCCTTTGTCCTGATGTATGCTGAATAAACTGCCTGTAAATATGCTTTACACAGCCTCTCCCTGTCACTTCTGTTGCGTGTCACCGTATTTTTCGCTCTATAAGACGCACCAGACCACAAGACGCACCTAGTTTTTGGAGGAGGCAAACAAGAAAAAAAATATTCTGAATCTCAGAAGCCAGAACAGCAAGAGGGATCGCTATGAAGTGAAAGGAGCAATCCCTCTTGCTGTTCTGGCTTCTGAGATAGCTGCGCAGCCTGCATTCGCTCCATAAGACGCACACACATTTCCCCTTACTTTTTTGGAGGGAAAAACTGAGTCTTATAGAGCAAAAAAAATACGGTAATTACTCTGCTGATTAGAGCGTGCTCCAGCTTTTGAAGGCTTCTGGAGCTGCAGGTCGCTGTTTCATGCTAAACCAAGGACCGGAGATCGCCTGGCTACCACCAGCCGGTGGGCTTGAGCCAACTGTGGGCTTGCCAATTGCCCCCGTTTGCTTGGAAGCATCCCAACATGGCTATGGGGGCTCACAAGATGAGCTCCTGCACTTCCACATTTATATCCCTGCTTGGCAATAACCATGGGATCATAGAGTCTTGGAGTTGGGTCATCTAGTCCAACCCCCTGCAATGCGGGAATCTCAGCTAAAGCATCCCTGGCAGTTGGCCACCCAACCTCTCTTTAAAACCTCCAGGAAAGGAGAGCCCACCACCTCTTGTGGAAGTCTCTTCCACTGCTGGACAGCTCTTACTGTCAGAAGGTTTTTCTGTATGTTTAAGCAGAATCTCCTTTCTTGCAACTTGAAGCCATGGGTTCGAGTTCAGAGCAGGAGAAAACAAGCGCACTCCCTCCTCCATGTGACAACCCTCAATATATTTGAAGGTGGCGTGGCAAGAGAAATTGATGGATTATGCGGAATTGGTGAAATTGACATACAAACTGCGAGGCAAGGACAACTGTGACTTTAAAGAATAGGAACTCTTTACAAACTACTTAAAAAAATGAATTGGCAGGTTTTGAATAAACATACACAAATTTATTGATTGTCAACATAATAGACAGATAATTTAAGGATCTTTACAATTTTATAATATGCAGAGAATAACATGTGCTGAAAAATCAGAGAGAGGAGCTGAGGGGAGTCTGGGGGGGGAGGGAGGGTTTTTCTTAGGGAGGGGAGAGGGGGGAAATTGGGGGGAATGAAGATGATATGCTTTGATACTTTGTTATGTTGAAGTTCTTAATGAAAATTATTTTAAAAAGAAAAAGATATTTGAAGGTGGCTATCATATCTCCAGGGACGCAGGTGGCACTGTGGGTTAAACCACAGAGTCTAGGACTTGCCGATCAGAAGGTCGGCGGTTTGAATCCCTGCGACGGGGTGAGCTCCCGTTGCTCTGTCCCTGATCCTGCCAACCTAGCAGTTCGAAAGCACCTCAAAGTGCAAGTAGATAAATAGGTACTGCTCTGGCGGGAAGGTAAACGGCGTTTCCGTGCGCTGCTCTGGTTCGCCAGAAGCGGCTTAGTCCTGCTGGCCACATGACCCGGAAGCTGTACGCCGGTTCCCTCGGCCAATAAAGCGAGATGAGCGCCGCAACCCCAGAGTCGGCCACGACTGGACCTAATGGTCAGGGGTCCCTTTACCTTTACTATCATATCTCCACCCAGTCTCCTATTTTCCAGGCTAAACATACTCATCTCCTTCAAGGGCTCCTCATAAAGCTTGGCTTCTAGACCCTTGATCATCTTGGTTGCCCTCCTCTGTGGACGTTCATCTTGTTCCTCTCCCCATAATTTGATCACTACTTCTCACCCTTACGGAGGGCTTGGTGCCTGATGTTGCCTATGAGAATTAGAGGCTTCAGACCCCTCAAACTAGGAAGAATACGAAAGTATACCCTATTGAGAATTCCCCAATTCCCTTTGCTTCCCTATATGCAGCCAGTTGAGAAGACAGATGGTGCATACCAGGGTGTGAGGCTGCAAGCTAGGCCTCTGCTCCCTTAAATTTCTGCTAGCTCATGACTAAGAGGTGGTGCTTGTGTACTCCTTATGGGCTCCTTACGGGGTCCTTGCCATGGGATCACATTCATCCAGTGCTATACCAGCTGCACTGGCTCCCGGTGGAGTACAGGGTCAGGTTTAAAGTGCTGGTTTTGACCTTTAAAGCCCTATATGGCCTAGGACCCTCATACCTATGGGACCGCCTCTCCTGGTCTGCCCCACGGAGGACCTCAAGGTCCACAAATAACAACACTTTGGAGGTCCCAAGTCGCAAGGTGCTTAGATTGGTCTCAACTAAGGCCAGGGCCTTTTCAGTACTGGCCCCGACTTGGTGGAACGCTCTGTCACAAGAGACCAGGGCCCTGCGGGACTCGACATCTTTCTGCAGGGCCTGCAAGACAGAGCTGTTCCGCCTGGCCTTTGGTTTGGACTCGGTCTGACCCTTATGTTTCCCTTACGGTTTGGACTTTTAAAATGAGGCTGCATTTTAAATTGTTTTTTTCTTTTCCTTTTTTTCTTATTATGTTTTTACTGAAATTGTATTGGTGTTAGATGCCCTGAGCCCAACTCTGGCCGGGGAGGGCAGGGTATAAATACATTTTATTATTATTATTATTATTATTATTATTATTATTATTATTACTCAACAGGCCTGTCTGGGTATCGAGGTGCTGGGCTTCGTTCGGTTAACTCCTTGTTACCTGGATTGGAACCTGATTTTTTTTCTCTGCTCCAACTATCAAGACTTCCTAGAAATTGAAATTTCATTTTTCATTTGATCCCTGGCCATGACCTCACAGCACAGTTCCCACAATTGCCTGGGAAGAAGGAATGTCCTTTTAAAGCTATGCAAATATACTCTCTGGTTTTTGGATGGGTTTATTGCTTTGCTTGATGTATTGTGCTTTAATAGTGACTTACTCTAAACATTTGCCTTGGGGTAGAAACAATGGCTTGGTTGCCACAGGTGTCCAGGACTGAATAAACTACCATATTTTTTGCTCTATAAGACTCACTTTTTCCCTCCTAAAAAGTAAGGGGAAATGTGTGTGCATCTTATGAAGCAAATACAGGCTGCGCAGCTATCACAGAAGCCAGAACAGCAAGAGGGATTGCTGCTTTCACTGCGCAGCGATCCCTCTGGCTTCTGAGATTCAGAATATTTTTTTTCTTGTTTTCCTCCTCCAAAAACTAGGTGCGTCTTGTGGTTTGGTGCGTCTTATAGAGCGAAAAATACGGCAAACATTTGGCTGGTTTTCAGCCATTAACCTGCTTGCATGTCTCTGTAATTTCCTCTCCTTTCTTTTCCAGGTGGACACTGTCTGGATCTGGGCCGCAGTGTGATCTGCAAATGCCGTCAGGGTTTTGCTGGCCCTCACTGCGAATTGAACATTGATGATTGCGCCGGAAACCCTTGTGCTAACGGCGGCACGTGCATCGACGGCCCAAACAGCTACACCTGCTCCTGCACCCTGGGCTATGGCGGAAAGGACTGCGGTACCCGCATGGACGCCTGTGGCTCCAACCCTTGCCAGAATAGTGGGACCTGCTACACCCACTTCTCGGGCCACGTCTGTGAGTGTTCCTCCGGCTACATGGGCTCCAGTTGTGAGTTCAGAGTCCAGGTTCCCACCCCCGTGAGCAGCCAGCGGGTGGCTGAAGGCCCTTTCCCCGTTGCCCTGGCCGTTTCGTTTGCTCTGGGGCTCATGACGTTGGTGCTCGCGGCATGTGCCGCCGTGGCTGTGCTTCGGCACATGAGGCAGGGCCGCAAAGCTCTGAAAAGCAGTGTCCGCAATGACCTGGCGACCATCAACAACCTCAAGGAGAGAGATGGCTTCCTCATCTCCCCCGGGCGCTTTAAGGTCTCGAACAAAGACAGCCGATTCGGTGGAGACCAGTTCAACTGCAAAAGGAAGTTGCTGGATCAGAGCCGTGAGTCTGTCTGCAAGAAGAAGCTGGAAAAGTAAGTGGTACCCATTTGGGCTCCTTCTGTTTGCTTGTAACTTGAAGACTGGGGTGAAGTTCTGGGGTAGGGTGCATGGGCAAATATTAGCACAAGGTTATTAACGTATTTATGGGACCGCCTCTCCTGGTCTGCCCCGCAGAGGACCTTAAGGTCCATGAATAATCATAGTTTAGAGGTCCCAGGCCCTAAGGAAGTTAGATTACCTCCACCAGGGACAGAGCCTTTTCAGTGATGGCTCCCACCTGGTGGAATGCTCTGTCCCATGAGACCAGGGCCCTGCAAGATTTAACCTCCTTCCGCCGGGCCTGTAAGACAGAGCTATTCCGCCTGGCTTTCAATTTGAACTTAGCCTGATCTTTTATTCCCCTTCCTCCCCTTTTTATGAAGATCCCCCGCTCTGAGACCCCACAGCTAATTCTCCCCTGGTCTCCTCGCTGGCCCAAATAGGACTAATTTAGCCAGCTAGCCCTGGTGATCATTTTTAATTTTATTGCTATTCACGTTTTATACCATATTTTATGCTGTTTTTTTGTAGCATCAATTGTGTTTTAAATTTGTTGTTAGGCGCCCTCAGCCCGGTTTTCTGAACCGGGAAGGGTATAAATAAAAATTTATTAGTATTATTATTATTTATTATTAATTGGGACTGGGCATTTCAGTCATCTTACACCAATGATTTATCAACTACACCAGTTTATCATCTACACCCAGTCCATTTCTGGGTCCACTTTAAAGTGCTGGTTTAAAACCTTTAATAGTTTGGGACTAGGGTATCTGAGGGATGCGGGTGGCGCTGTGGTCTAAACCACTGAGCCTCTTGGGCTTGCCGATCAGAAGGTTGGCAGTTTGAATCCCGTGACAGGGTAAGCTGCCCAGAGTGGCTGGGGTATTATTTATTTATTTATTATTCTGAACTGCTACTTTGGGGCTTTATTCTCATCTGATAGAATGAAAGATTTCTATTTCATTTGATTGTTTATTGTGCTGCTTGTATTGCATTTTATTTGATTCTTCTGTGAGCTGTTTTCAGTAGTAGTGGAAGTAATTTAATTTAAAAGTCAATGTAGATTTGGGGAGGTAAGTACAAGAAAACAACACTGTCCAAGCTAGTGATGCTCATAAGGCTGAGACATTGAGTTTATGCTAATGTGTTGGCTTATTGCAGTACATCTAAGAATATGTAGATGTAGAAATCCTCATTTGCTTGTGAGATGATCATGTGATTTCTTCAGGAAAAACCTATCTGAGCAGGATCCTAAAGGACTCAGAGCCTCATTCATGGGATTGTTCCAGGAAACTGCCATTTAGATCTACCTCTTCTCAGTGTTTGTGTGTACATTTGTGGGTAAACAGGAAGGAAGTATGTTTTACAACGTTCATCTCAAATTAAAAAAAAGTGTTGCAGTATGTTGTTTCAGGATACAGTGGTACCTCTAGATACGAACGGGATCTGTTCTGGAGCCCCGTTCGCATCTAGAAGTAAATGTAACTAGTGATGGCATGTCTGCGCACGCGCACGTCACTTTTCACCGCTTCTGCGCATGCGCGTGATGTCATTTTGAGCGTCTGCGCAAGCGGCGAAACCCGGAAGTAATGCGCTCTGTTACTTCTGGGTTGCCGAGGAGCGCAACTCGAACGGGCTCAACTCAAAGCGTATTTAACCCGAGGTATGACTGTACTGTGCAAGGGAAGAAATGCCTTTGCATTTTTTGTGCTTCTGGGGCAGGCTATATAAATTACACAGAGGAACAGCCCTGTAAGATGGTCCACCATTCCGTTATATAGGCAAATACCATTAGCATCCATCTTCCTCAGCAAACAATGGAAGGCACCTTTGTGGGTGAAGTCAAACCATTGGAGGCTTACAGCGCCTGCTGTGGCTGTAGAGACCGATACAGGAGAGATATATTTTGTTGCATCTGGGGCAGATGAAGGCCTCTGGTTGTGTTGCTGCAGATCCTCCGGGGCATTTCTTCCCTCTGTGCTCCTCCCAGTGGTCATTCCTCCTGTGGTCACTGCTATGGATACACGTCCTGACTGATTGTCTCCAGGCAATGTAGCTATGACTTAAGAGTATAAGAACTGCTTTGCCATACTGAATTTAGCAGTCATCTAGTCCAGCGCACTGTCTCCGACAGACAGCCTGTTGATGCTGAAAACTTGTGTTTGTGAAAGCAACTGCCTTCCCTTCTTGTTTGTACCCCAGTATTCAGCACTACTCCTGCCAACCTAGCAGTTTGGAAGCACGTCAAAGTTCAAGTAGATAAATAGGTACTGCTCCGGCAGGAAGGTAAACGGCGTTTCCATGCGCTGCTCTGGTTTGCCAGAAGTGGCTTAGTCATGCTGGCCGCATGACCCGGAAGCTGTACTCGGCCAATAAAGCGAGATGCGCGCCGCAACCCCAGAGTCGGCCACGACTGGACCTAATGGTCAGGGTCCCTTTACCTTTTATTCAGCACTACCTCTGAACACTAAAGTTCCATTTTTATCCCTCATGATTAATAGCAATCTATAAACTCCATGGTAAACAAATTCGGATCACTCTACTGGTCGACACCAAGTTTTGTAGCAATTAATTCTGTAAACCTATTTCTGCATAGTGAGAAGAAATATTTTATTTTGCTTTGTTCTGGATCAATTGCAAATCAGTTAAATTAGATGGCCCAGATTTTCTCTTTCTCAGCAAGTGTTTTCTACCAGTAAAGATACAGTCACTGTGAAGATTTAGTTTTCCATGAATGTTTTATTGAAACCTTTCATCACACAATAAAAAGCCAAAGTAATCTAAATAAGAAAAACAAGAAAAAGGGGGAAAAGGAAAGGAACGGGGAAAAGAAGGGAGGAAACACAAAGTCCTCTCTGAAAGGTAGATTATAACCCTTGGCTCACACAGAAGGGGGTGGACCTTCCCAGCTCTCACCAGGCAGGTTCCCTTTCTTCTCCCAGCCTGGAAGTTCTTCCCTTCCCCACTTCTCACACTGTCTTTCACTAGCCAACCATCGCCTTCATGTGCATACCCTCATTAACCCAGAGTTGTTGTTGTTGTTGTTTAGTCGTTTAGTCGTGTCCGCCTCTCCGTGACCCCATGAACCAGAGCATGCCAGGCACTCCTGTCTTCATCATCATTTTCATCATTTTTAAAATTAGTATACCGTCTTTCTGTCTTACAATACTCAAGGCGGTTTACAAGCTGCAGAAACAAAAAATGTACATCTTATAACAATCTAATGCAATACAAAAATGTGATAATAAAACTTTAAAATAGCCAACCTACATCAAAAAAGTAACATTCAACAATCATTAGAATAGTATTAAATAATGATAACATATAAAAGTTAAACAGATATCCACTCAACAGTTACAATAAATAATTTCTAAACTATAATCAATAAAACAATGGCAAGCCACAGTACATAAAATAATACAATACAAATTGAGAAGCAGAGACTAGAGGGTGGGGCAAGGCAGGAGGAAGGAGGCCTTGCCTGATGGAGCCTCTTCCCTCACAGTTCTTCCTCCAGGACCAGCTTCCATTGCCTCCCGCAGTTTGGTCAAACTCATGTTGGTTTCTTCGAGAACACTGTCCCACCATCTCATCCTCTGTCGTCCCCTTCTCCTTGTGCCCTCCATCTTTCCCAACATCAGGGTCTTTTCCAGGGAGTCTTCTCTTCTCATGAGGTGGCCAAAGTCTTGGAGCCTCAGCTTCAGGATCTGTCCTTCCAGGGAGCACTCAGGGCCAATTTCCTTCAGAATGGAGAGGTTTGATCTTCTTGCAGTCCATGGGACTCTCAAGAGTCTCCTCCAGCACCAGAATTCAAAAGCATCAATTCTTCAGCGATCAGCCTTCTTGATGGTCCAGCTCTCAACCCTGAGTAGAGTACATGAAAGAACAAAACAAAGCATAAACAAAAGCAAAGTAGATAAAAGAAGAAAAGGAAGATATAAAGATAATAAAAAAGGAATTAAAAAGAGAAGAGAGAAATAAATAAATAAGGAGGACTTCCGATTCTCTGTCCTATCTCAAAAGTAATTTTAAAAAGGGAGGTTTAGCCGACCTAGTGCTCTGAATACTAACTTATTATGTGGTGTTTGGGAACACTGGAGGTCCCTCACTCCAAGTCACTCACTCATTGCATCTGAAAATTTCCCAGTCTCTGGTGTGAAGAGTAGTTTTCTTCAGAGCATTCGAGGTTAATCTCTGATCTTCCTGTTTTCAAAGGGAGATTTTGATAACCAAGATTTACATCTTGATCATCATTAATCACCTCATAATTATCTCTGTCGATGGAGTGTTGGCAGTAGACAGTTTGCCACCTTCCTCCCAGAAGTTCAGTCTCCACAATAACTGTGAAGATGGCAGCATTACTTCCATTTCTGCCAGTCATCTTTCATAGGACATGCTTTGGTCTTTTCAGCATGTTTTTTTATTTAAGATAATTGCATGCCACCTTTTTACCTATAAAATCCTTTGAAATGACTCAGAAAAAAACATTGTGAAAAACCTAAATTCAATTTAGTTCATTTTATATAGCCACTTTCCCTTTATAATCCACAGTCTTTAAGCATTAAGATCTTTTTCTAAGGTCGACCCCAATTCCCTTCCACGAATTCCCCTTTTTTATACTCATAACAAAACAAAATAAAAAAAGAAGAAAAGTTCAAAATATAATTGTACACCCTTTGGATTCCCAAACTCCAACCCCCCTTTCCCGGTTTCGATCCCCAATGTCCATCAGTCTATCTGCTATCAACCTGGAGACCTCACATCCGAGGCCCTTAATTCTCTCTCAGTTCCTCTTTGCCGGTTTTTTTGATAGTCCTTTATACCAAGCACCAAATCTCGGAGAAGCTCTGTCTCGAAAACGTCAATTTTTCTTCCATCCAGACCTCTATATTTAAGGGTGAAGCTCAAATCTTGTTTCTTAATCCTTTTACGTCTGAATGTCCCAAATACTCCAACTTCCATCTTGCTCAAATTTGTAATCCATAGGTCTTCA